GCTTTGAGCCAGGGTGTTGGAAACTCGGAGGAAAGCAAAGAAGAATTGATGATGTGAGTAATGATAGGTAGCAAATGTTCAAGTAAGAGAATAATCATTATCCTATTCACATCATCAAAACCAATGCAATTGGATTTTATTGAGGAGATTATCTTGTAGACTTCATCATCAGCAACTGGTACAAATAAAAATTCATCAATAGGACGTTTAGGCCATGAAGTTATTTCAGCTAGAGAAGTAGATTTCAGAGAATCGCTCAATATGGGAACGGTGGAAAAATGCCTGTTTAAGTCATTTAACGAAATAGACGAGGAAAAATCCTCAGATTGTTTGCACAATCCAAGTGATTTGAGAAACTTCCAGGTATTGGCCGAAGAGGTATTTAGTATGTTCGAGTGGATGTGACGGCGTTTAGCAGCTCTTACCATATAGTTGCAGTGGTTGCGCGCAATTTTGAATGCCCTCCAGTTCTCTTCACAACGTTCCCTTTTATAGATTCTAAACGCACGGTTATGCTTTCTTAAAGCCATGCGCACTCCCGCAGTTATCCAGGGAGTTGGCTGTCTTTTAATTCTGACAAAGTGAGCCGGAGCATGCCTGTCAAAGATTTGGAGAACAGACTGGTTAAAAACGGACATCTTATCGTTTATTGACGAGGCGGACAGTACACATGACCAATCAAAATCAGTTACATCTTTCCCTAAAGTTGACGTATCAATTTTGGCAAAACTACGCAGACGAACGACGGAAGGCTTAGGCTTGAACGTTTTTATATTAAATGAGACGTAAAGGAGATCGTGTCTGGAGAATCCAGGTGCTGGAAATTGACCATGGTTTAATATGTAATCAGGTATCATGAGAGTCATTGTTAACGTGGGTAGCATTAAGGGGCTCGCGGAAGGAGGCGGCGGAAAGGGAGCGGAAGCGGACTCGTCCCGCTTCCCTCTGCCGCAGAAGAGCCGTCGGAGCTGGGGTAGAAATGCACATGCGAATCCCCTGGCTCCGACATAGGCGCTCGTAGGTACACCGTGTGGTTTATGGTGAGTACAAGTCTCACACACCACCCCGCGCTCCCTCCGGTGGGGTGACGGTCTTTTGAAGATTTTCCACACGTAAAAAAAAAAAAAAAGGTTAGCATTAAGGGGTAACACCGAAAGGCCCACCGACTCCACAATATCGCGCAGCTTACGAGATCTGTAAGTCTCTTTGAGCAAGTCAGTGTTGAAGTCACCCATGATAACATGATGTGCATGCACCGCCATAATATTCGCGGAAATAGACTCAACGTCATGGAAGTAGTCAGTAGAAGGAGGACAATATATAACACCGAGAACAATCTTACTTCCCTTAATATCAACCGCCACGAACAAATATTCAGCACCACCTGCCGCAGTTGAGGTAGCTAACGTTTTATAGCTTTAGCTTTAGTATTTAGCTACCCCACCACCCCGCCTGTCCACACGATCATTTCATATTAAGAAGTACCCTGGTAAACTAACGGTAGTAGACAGCAGAGAGGGTTTTAACCAGGTCTCTGAAACCAAGATTGCGTCTACAGTATTCACACTAAAAGTATTCATTAATTCACTATGATGTTGAGGTAAACTTTGAGCATTAATGTGACAAATGTTTAGGTTGCGGTGTGTTTTTAATAATTCGTTACTAAGATTAGAAGAAAGAGATACATCTAATAAGGACATATCAAGAGACATAAATGAATCATTAGAGCTATGGGCCGAAAAAAAGGATTCATTGTCAGACATTGTAGTATCAAATATGTAAATAAATAAGTAATATATTTATTTATTTTATTTTATTTATTTATTAAAGGAAAACCAAGGCTATTCAAGTACATCTTAAATAAAATCAATATATATGTCATAGTAAGCCACTGACAGGCTTTCACTAGTAACAATAGACTAATTCTTAAAAAATTTACATCACTACGTATAAAGGCATTAAAAAGTTAACAGAGAATATGAAATTAATTAACAAGAGTACAGTAACAAATAGTAAATTTATAGAAATATATACATATACATGATTTTCAATAATAATTAATTGTTATTTAAAGAAGGGCTCACTTAGTTGGTGTCTCGTTGATTTAATATTATTACAAAATATATCTATATTAACTGTTTTAGATAGTTTATTAAAATTGTTGCTAGCTCGCCAGAGAAATGAATTCTGCTTATAGTTCGATGACACTAGGGGAACAGATAGGAGAGGATTGTGCCTTGTTGATACTCGTGGTACATTAATGGATAATTTACCCAGGAGATTCGGGCAGTCGACAGCACCAGAGGCTATTCTCATGAGATATGTAATATCCGCGATTTCCCTACGCTTCTCAAGAGGCAGAAGGTGGTGTTTTTTACAAAACTCAAGATACCTAGATGAATCATACGGATCTCGTAATCTGTAGGCTAAAAAACGAATAAATTTCTTTTGGATATTTTCGAGACGTAGTATGTAGGTTTTGTATCTAGGATTCCAAATCTGCGAAGCGTATTCCAATTTACTTCTAACCAACGTGCAGTATAATATTTTTAAGGTTTTGGCTTGCTGAAAAAGACTTGAGTTACGCATAAGAAAACCGAGTGCTTGTGTAGCTTTCGTAACAATGTTATCAATGTGGTTGTCGAAGACTCATTTTGAATCATGTGTCCTTCATTGATATTTTTTTTTCTGAAGCTCCTTACCCCGTAGTGTGTACCGCGTTTCAATAAATTTAAATTTCCGAGTGTATGTGACCATAAAACATTCATTTGGGTTAAGATCTAAATTGTTCAAATTGCAATAATTGTTGAGGCGCTCGAGATCTGACTGAAGGCGATACATATCACTTGGTGACGATATTGTCATAAATACTTTCATATCATCTGCAAAGCACAGTAATTGGGAGCAATGAAAACAGTTGCCGATATCAATAACAAAAATAGCAAATAATAACGGCCCGAGCAGGGAACCTTGAGGGACCCTGCTAGGTGTGAGTATCCAACTGGATATGTACTCGTAATTATCTACTACAACGGCTTGAGAGCGATAATATACGTAATATACGATGTCATCCATCGAAAGAGATCACCTCGGATACCGATAAGTTGGAGCTTATGCAGCAGAATATAGTGGTCTATACGATCAAAGCATTTGATATAGTCGGTATACATATATAACATCAACCTGGTGCCCACCATCCATAGCATCTGTAAGATATTCGTTTAAAAGCACTAGATTGGAAACTGTGGATCGCCCCTTTAAGAAACCATGTTGAAAGATGTTTAATGACATTTTTATTGCAGAATATAGTTGGACATACACTATTTTTTCGAACACTTTCGAGATGTGGCACAACTTAGAAATGGGTCTGTAGTTCGCGATATCAGTTTTGGAGCCCTTTTTGTGTACAGGTGTGATAGATGATGTGAGTAGGATTATGGTTACTCTCTCACTTAAACACTTGCTTCCTATCATTACTCACATCATTAACTTTTCTTTAATTTCTTCCGAGTTTCCTGCAGCATGGCTAAATGCTTTCGTTCTACCACTACCTAAAGTATCATCCCCACAACTTCTTAAGGACTTTAGACCTATATCAATCCTGCCTTTCCTCTCTAAAATACTAGAAGCTGTGGTCCACAGACAGTTATCTGATTTTGTTTTTAAAAACAACTTAGTAAGCCCCTACCAGTCTGGTTTTCGCCCTGGACACAGCACCACTACTGCTCTTCTGAAAATTACTGAGGATATGAGGGAAGGCATGGAACGATCTAAATTAACAGTTCTCGTTTTAGTCGATTTCTCTAATGCATTTAATACCGTTGACCATGATGTCTTACTCGCTATCCTTTCACGTCTTGGGATTTCATCGTCAGTTGTTAAATGGTTTAGCTCCTATCTTCGTGGACGTCAGCAGGCAGTTCGTGCCAATCAGGCATTATCGGATTGGTGCGATCTTGTTACTGGTGTTCCTCAAGGCGGCATTTTGTCTCCATTACTTTTCTCTATCTTTATAGATTTTATTACTAAAGTTCTTAAATGCTCTTACCATTTGTACGCAGATGATCTCCAGATCTACTCCCAGGCTGTTGCGTCGGAGCTCAGTGATACCATCGGCCAATTGAATATTGATCTTGATCATATACTCAATTGGTCCAAAAAGTTTGGTGTTGCTGTTAATCCCTCCAACTGTCAGGCAATAGTCCTCGGAAGCAGTAAACAACTAAATAAAATTAATTTCAACACTTTACCTCCTGTTCTATTTAATAAACAACCAATTGCGTATAGTTCTCAAGTAAAAAATCTCGGTTTAATTATAGACAGTACTCTAAGTTGGAACAACTATGTTAGTGACGTTAGTCGTAAAGTCACAATTACACTGCGTAACTTATATAGATTGAAAAACTTTCTCCCTATAAGTACTAAAACTCTCCAGTAGTGGCAACACTGGCCAAAGTAGTAATTGTGATGTCGTGTTTATTTAATAAATAAAATAGATTTATAGAGTATTAATGCCAATAAGTGATGATCAACAGTGATACTTGCAGTGAATTAACATTTGAAGATAAAGAATTCAGCTAAAATTGGACTGTAAGGCGTTTTTGCTGCAATAGTAGCAGCAACATAACCGTGCTTCTTTGTCCACAATCTACGCATTTTCACTAAGTGTGTTGCATCGAAGTCTTTGTGTGTACTAACTGGAATATTTTTGGATTGCACAGTGCGTGCTGGAATAGTGATATTGCATAATTTATCTATATAACCTACAAAAGTGGCAATTAGTAATGAATCTCATTATTGATTGATATACATAGCGCCATCTAGCTAAAATTTGAATTACCACTGCAACGCTTAGCATCGCATGCGCATAACATCAACATTTGCTTCCTGAATAAGTTACGCGCATTGTTGGCTAGAGGGCGTTATAAACATAAAAACACATATTTGTCTTGTAAATACAAGATATATATAATATAATAAACCAACTTTAAAAACTAATTATGCAAAGAACACCGCCGCCAACACCTCCTATCTCAGCGTCACATAGCTCTTCAGTACCTAATCTAAAAGACATGTCTGACTGTAGCCGTGTTAGTGATGTTAGTCAGGATTACATAAACATCCAAAGATACAAACGTCCAAGAACTGATGACACAGAGGGAAACCAATTTATTATATTTCAAGAGTCTATTATGACGATGTTGAATGACTGGAAGGCCGATCAGGATCGGAAGTTCAACGATTGGAAGGCTGACCAGGATCGCAAATTGGATAAACTAACTGATAATATTACACAGGTTATGTCACAAAATGTCAAAATTCAGGAGTCCTATCATGAAATAGAAAAATCAATCGATTACTTGTCAAAAAAATATGATGATGTTGAGTCTAGAATGTCCACATATGAGCACCAGAAAAAGGAGGACTGTGCAGTTGTTAGGTCACTGGAAAAGCAATGTAATAACCTGCAACACAGAATTGATGATATACAGAATGAATTAAACTCGAAAGAACAGTGGGCTAGGTACAAAAATATCGAATTGAAGGGTATACCACAGGGCAAAGATGAAAATCTTCACGACATTCTGTGCAATATCGGGAAGAAAATAAATTATCCTATATCGAACAACCAGCTCGACTTTGTAACTAGAGTACAGACCAGAGAGCAAAATCAACCTAAACCAATTATTGCTTGTTTTACTAATAAATATGTGAAGGAAAACTTCATAGCTGCTGCAAGATTGTTTATAAAGACTAGTCCACTATTACCAACATCACTGGGACTACATGGAACGCATAGAATATTTATTAATGATCACCTCACCAACACCAACAAAAACCTGTTATCCTCTGCCAAGAAAGTAGCTAAAGAGCGGGGGTTTCAATTTGTATGGGTCAAAAATTGCAAGCTGTATGTTCGCAAAAATATTACATCTCCCGTGATACAAATAACCACGGAAAAAGACATATCAAAAATAGTTTAATATGTAAATACAGTGTGATTATCCTAAACTTTATATTGTTGATTATGTTGTTGTTATCTGTTTTGTTTTATAGAGTATATTGTATGTGTAGGCTGGTACTTATGTGTGGTGGTATGATTGCCCAAAATTCATTTTTCAATAATTTTAATTACTGTACGTGCTGGGGGAACACTGGTCGTATATTTGTAAAGGTTAAGGTCATAAATACTAAATTGAGTTGCAAAAAATATTATATAAACATCAAAATTTGGAACTTGTATGATTCTCTCTCGTTGATGGTATTTATGGAGCGGTCTCCACATTGTGGGATTGTTTCTTCGTTGAGACTTTATAATTATAATCAGCGTATTAAAGTAAAAACATTACACATTGCGATATATTTAAAATTACATTATAAAAATGGCTTCTCTTAACCTATACTATCAAAACGTCCGTGGTTTGCGTTCAAAAACTGATGAACTGTACAGAATGGTTAGTCTCAATGAGTATGACGTCATAGCATTGACTGAAACCTGGCTCCTTGACAGTATATCTGATGCGGAACTTTTTGATGACCGCTACTTGGTTTGGAGGCGTGATCGAGACTATTTCCGCACGGGACAGAGTATGGGTGGTGGGGTTCTATTAGCAGTTAAACGAAATCTCACTGTTACTAATAGAATTAATTGGATTAGTTCAGCTGAAGATTTGTGGGTTACCATTACTTTACGTAATAAGCGCCCATCGGGCTCATGTAATATACATATCTGTACTGTTTATCTGATAAGTGAAGAGCAAGGCAACAGCTACAAAATGCAGTTGGACAACTTTATGGAGGGACTGAGTCGGTTGGTCTTATCACATGCCCTTGACAAATTCATGGTTTTAGGTGATTTCAATCTCCCAAATACAATTAGATGGGCAGAAAATGATGAACTTGATTTAAAACCTATATCAACATCTAATCAAGATCATTTAGTAAATTTTATTGATATTCTAACCATGTGCAATCTCACCCAATATAATAACAACTTTATAGTTGTGTTGTGTTGCATTATGATTATACAAAATGATCGATTGCTCGACCTGGTATTGTCCAATGACAGAGCGGTTGTACAGGCATGTGACACTCCACTTATTAAGGAAGATAGACACCATAAGTCCTTAAGCATACAAGTTAATTTCACTCAAATTCACATGCTTGTACAAGAACGTAGAACTAAGTACATGTATAATAGGGCTAGTTATGATCTTATATCAACTGCACTTGAGAGCGTTGACTGGGACGGCACTCTGTATAGTATTCCATTTCAAGATGCTGTGGATCTGTTTTATAGTCATCTTTATGAATCTCGTGATAAATTTGTGCCTCAAAAACCATTACATCTAGGACCTACCCGCCATGGTACAACAACGCACTTAAAAAAATCCTAAAAGAGAAATTTAAATTTCATAAAAAATATCGTACATATGGTAATTTATCTGACTATAACTCTTTTGCACTTTTACGTCGACGGGCTATACAAATTGAAAGAGACTGTTTCAACTCATACATGAGAAGAATAGAAGAGGGTATAACAAAGGATCCCAAGTGTTTCTGGTCCTACCTAAAAAGTAAAAATAATTCTGGAACCTACCCCAACATAATATCGTATAAGAATGTTACAGCTAGTACTGGCCAGAGTGTAAGCGATTTGTTTTCTAAATATTTCCAGTCAACGTTTAATAGTATGACTCCCTCAGGCAACGTGGATGTGATGGACTCGACCATACCCCAAAGCATCTCTAATATCTCATCGATTATCATAGACCCAAAAAAAGTGTTGAAGTTGTTGAAGTCTCTTGATTCCTCCAAATCAGGTGGGCCTGACCATATACCTCCAAATATCATTATCAATTGTGCAGAGAGCCTTGTAAAACCACTTTGTATTCTGTATAATCGTTCCCTCTCCGAGGGTATAGTTCCAATAGTGTGGAAAGCTGCTTTCGTTACGCCCATTTTTAAAAAGGAGATAACAGTGATATCGAGTGTTATAGACCTATCTCAAAACTGTGTTTATTTGCTAAGATACTCGAGAAAATAGTCTATGGCCAGGTATATGACACATTGAAAAGCTCTTTTGGTGAGGAACAACACGGCTTCCTACGTGGCCGCTCAACGGTATCGAATCTCTCAGTCGCTAATGATTTTATAACTTCGGGTATGGAACAGCGAGTTCAGGTCGATGTGATATATACTGACTACAGTAAATGTTTTGATCGCATCGACCATTCATTACTTCTGAATAAGCTAACCTGTGCAGGAATACATGGGGACTTACATAGGTGGTTCAAGTCGTACATTGACAATCGCAGTCAGGCAGTGGTTCTGAGTGGATTTACATCGACCTGGGCACCAATTCCCTCCGGAGTACCGCAGGGTTCCATTTTAGGGCCATTGCTTTTTACTATATTTATCTCCGATATCAATAAATGTTTTCAAAATTCAAAAATAATTCTATTTGCTGACGATATGAAAATTCTAAAAGTAATTCGCAGTAGTCAAGATATAAAAGATCTACAATCAGACCTTGTTAACTTCGAGTCTTATTGCAATAGTAACAAATTAGATCTCAACGTATCGAAATGTTTTTACATGTCATTTACTCGATGTCATAAAACATTAAACATGGGCTATACTTTAAAAAATCAGAATCTAGCACAAATATCGGAATTTAGAGACCTCGGTGTAATTCACGACATCAAGCTCTTATTTGATAAACATGTAAATTATATTGTTAGCAGGGCCTCTAAGGCTCTTGGGTTTATCATTCGTAGATCAATAAACTTTAGCAACATTAAAACCTTAAAAGTATTGTATTGCGCATATGTTCGAAGTCACTTAGAGTACGCATCCCAAATATGGAACCCGCACTACGAGGTTTATAAATCCCGTATAGAAGCCATCCAGAAAAGATTTCTTGCGTACTTGGATTTTAAATGTAAACGACGCTCTGTAGATTACTATGATAGATGTAGAAAGTATCACTTTCTACCCCTGTATATGAGACGCAATATTAACGATGTCTGTTATCTTATGGATATAGCGAACGGAAGAATTGATTGCTCGGAGCTGCTATCAAAAATAAACTTAAGAACTAATACCCTAAGACTTAGACAAAGAGCCATATTAAGTGTCCCTACAGTCAGGACCAGATACAGAGAGAACACTTTCGTTTTACGAGCATGTAAATCTTTTAACCATGTACCACATGATATTGACCTGTTTTGTTCCAGCACAGCCTCAGTTAGGAAACTCATATGTAACCAATTCTTTAACGGTACATAGCCGTACTTTATTTGTGTATTCTGTGGATACATCGCTACTTGTGGGTGTGTTGATCTATTTACTTGTACTGTATAACTACAACTGAAACACTGTCACGTGATTACTTCAATATGTTAAATTTGGCTAATGAAAAATTTAATCTGGTAATACTATTGGCGAAGATTATTAATTGGCATAGGACAATTCTATATGACAAGTAACATGTAAAATTACACCGTTAATCTTCCTAAATAAATAAATAAATAAATAAATTGTCCAATCATTAGTTCTCCCCACTCTTGATTATGCTGATGTGTGCTGTTCTGACATGAACGTAGACCTTTTAAACAAATTGGATCGGCTTCTCAACAATTCTATCCGCTTCATTTTTAACTTGCGCAAATTCGATCATATCTCTTCTTTTCGTTCACAGCTTAAATGGCTACCTATCCGTTATCGTAGAAATGTTCGTATGCTATGTACTCTCTATTTTTTTCTATATGATTCTAATTCTCCTGATTACATTAGCAATCAATTTCATTTCCATGGGGACAACAACATTCGCTCTATTCGCACGACCAGAAAATGTTTACTTCATATACCGGCTCATTTGTCCGGTTTCATCCACTATTCTTTCGCCGTTCAGGCTATCAAACTTTGGAACGACTTACCCCTTGATATCAAGACCGCCACGAGTAAGTTTTCTTTAAAGCGTAAATTGCGGGAATACTATTCCAGCATATAACTTTTCTATTATGTAGAATAGTTTTCCATTTTATCTTTTTGCGTGACTCATTGTTATTTGTACATCTTTTCTATGTTATAGTTGCTGAATTTTTTTTTTTTTTTTCTTTGTTATGTTCTATCTGCTGTTGCTATTTCATTGTCAGACTATTAAGTATGTTATATGTATGTATAAGTTATATGATGTGTATATGGTATATTTAGGTATGTATTTTATTCATATTTATCTATAGCTTTATATATATTGTATGTATTTGTATATGTATGTTTACATGTACTTACGTTTAGTAAATATATATTATTTATGACATAGGCATTATTTTTCTTATTGATTTCATTTGCACCGCCTACAGTTTCTCTGCACAACCTGTGGTTGACTGGTAGAAAATGCCGTAAGGCGTTAAGTCCGCCATATGTACTTTTACCTTGGTATTTTGTGCATTGAAGTTATATAAATAAATAAATAAATAAATAAATGCTGATTTCCATATTGATGGCACTTTGCTTTCAACTAGTGAACGTTTGAACAAAAGAGCGATAGGGATGGATATACTTATGCAGCAAGAGACAAGAAAGTGGGCTGATATGTCATCTGGTCCTGGGGATTTGTTGATATCTAGTTTAGATAGAAGTTTTTCGACTTTGTCATTATCAATATAGATGGACATAATATCAGATGTGGTCGTTGAGTCAGATAGCAATAATTCATTAGAGGAAGTGAGAAGTTGCGGACTAAGAAAGTTAGATTGGAAGTAAGAAGAGAAAGCATTACATATATTTTCACCTGTTTGTACTGTGACATCACCGTATTTCATGCTATTGGGGATGGACTGGGAAGAGGTACATGATTTTATATATGACCAGAAGTATTTAGAATTGCATCGAATTGAATTTTCTACAGAATTTAAATATTTTTTGTGACATTCTGCTTCTATGATCTTAAGGGGTCTTCCTATGTGACGGCCTGTTT